CATACGGAGTTTCTTTCGTTTCTAGTAAGGTCACACAAATTTAATGTCTTGGTTTTCATAACATGAAACTTTTAAGCAGACCCGCCGGCCGGGATTTTTTTTTAAATTTCATATATAAAAGTTTTTTGGCCTAATATTAATTTTTTTAAAACTTATGCAATTTGATTGGTTGTGTCACGGGTAGATCCATAAAAATTAACCAATCAAACGAACTTCTTTCTATCAAATACAATTCGGTAAAACGCGTAAATAAATACCAGATATTTCGCGCCATATAGTCAAACGCAAAATTTACTGTCATGGCACAAAATACTATTGAAACTCTGGTGGAACACTTTGGATTTACTCCAATTTCCGCCATTGACGACGTTATTAATTCTGTAAATGATCTTCTTTATACTGCGATTATGGGTCTAGAGCAGTTTGTTTTGTCAGAACTGAATTCTAGCGAAGAGGTTGATCAGGTTTGTTTAACTTCGCAATATTATTTAAGGCATTAATTAAGTATGGGAGGGAATTCACAAAGTTGAACAATTGAGTTTATTTTATTTGGAAGTTTCATAAAGAGAAGTAGTCTATTAACAGTTATTAATGTTAGTCTTCCTATGAATTATTGATGTAATGAAGGGAATCCATCAGGTTGAAACATTGTTAGAATCATTGGTTGATCATCACTTTGATATGTTTGAAATTTATGCTCTGCGCAATATTTTTGCTATACCCGACAAGTTAGAAATCGTCTTACCACATCGAGAGGTATATAAGGACTATGATTTTTAGTACATAGAAAAATCTATTGTTATTTTACTATGTTGTCTTTAAAATAGGGAATGGATTTTACTTTGGATCAAGCCAAGGAAGAACGTGTTGATCAGGAATTAGATGCAATGCGGAAAAAAGTTTTGGCTGTAAGATTCATATATATGTCCATTTATTTAAATTGTTAAAATTATGCATGCTATGTATTTGAACTTAAAACAGGTTAAAGCGATGAACTATAAACTTAAAGAAGAAATCTCAAGAACTGACAAGTGTGTGACCTTACTAGAAACGAAAGAAACTCCGTATGAAAAAAAAGTTTATAAATCAATATATATATATATCTATATAAGAATAATTTGTCACAAATATAGAGGACAAATAGATACACGTAAAGCGCGGTAAAGGTAGTATTTATTATTAATAAACCCAAACTCCTCATTAATATAATCTACAATCTATGAGCCAAAACTTATTAATGAGCCAAAACTTATTACGGTTGACGGGCAACACAAGAACCAAACATATTTTAAATCCAACGTAATAAGCACTCTTGAACGAAAACATACCTTTAACTTGATACGGACCAATAGACGGCGGCGTATTTTGTCTTCTAAGTAAAGTCTTTCAGTTTTAGGACGCATTCTTAAAAACATATAAATAAGTTACCCGGGCAATTTAGCATCATCCGATGAAGAGGGACGCAATAATTCTATGCATCGATCAATTTCACTTTTGTTTTCGCTTTGGTTTTCTTGAGGATTTGACATTTTTATCTGCAAATAGCTTAACATCAAACATCCAATATCGATATTTGATAACGATAAATGTTGTGTAACTTCACTCAAAGGACGACATTCGTCTGATTGGCCAATTCAATTGCGCGAATCTACGCTTAGATACGTAGTCAATATTGTTACTACGTATTATTATCGTCTGTTAAAAAGGCGAATCCTTAAGTTTTTTGATCTTAGAGATTAACTTTATGTATATTGTTTAATTGTTTATTTTAATAGGATTATTTAATAATTACGATCTTATATTAATTGAATATTGGAGGAATTAATTCATTATATATAGCATTAAATGAACAAGCAGAATGTATGCCTGCACAGCCCACAAAATAAAATTTATTGTTTTTTAAAAGTTCGGCCCGCAATTTTGAGAGGTTTTTAAAATTTTCAAATTTTGGCCGGCCTGTGCAGGCCTCTAGGGTGAGTTAGTAGAAATCAAGAAAATTGTTTTTATTATACCAATAACTTAACCAAAACTTGATCAAATTTAATAAAAATTTTTTTAAATAAATTCTATAAGTTTGTAGAATTTATTTAATTAAATTTGATTAAGTTTTTGCTAAGTTATTGTTTAAAATTTTAAAAAAAATTTATTAGACAAATATGCTTGATTTCTACTGACTAAACCACATTTGTAATTTTTTTAAAACAACATTCGATAGAATTACAATTCAAATAGATTTATCAACATAGTATTTTGTTCCTAATTTGCTCAAGTAAATCCTACCAAAAGAGATCAGAAACCTTATCTTGCAAAAGTAAGAAAATAAATTCACGTTATCATTTATTTCCTATTTATAAAATTTTGTATTACCATTCACAGAAATACAAGCTATTTCCAAATATATAGTAAGAAAATAGAGAACGAAATTATTACTAGGGTAATGATATTAAATCAATAGAATTGAGTTCATTGAAGTTGTCTAAAGGTTAAACTAATTCTGCCATCTTTAATACTCTTTTCTTTTGGAATTGAATGTTTCCAAAATTGTTGAGTTGTCCCCTTCATAACAATTAAAGATCCATTCTCAAGTACGATCTTTCGCACCAACTTTTTATCTGATTTATTTTGAAACATAAAGGTTCTTGGCGCGCCGAAACTAACGCAGGCAATGATCCCTTGAGGCACAAGACCTTTTTCATCATCGGCGTGAATACCAATAGAATCATTACCACTTTGGTACCAGTTTAACAAAACAAAATTAAATTCTGTATCTAAAATCGACTCAATTTTGTCTTTGATAACTGTTATGGAAGGTGGATAGTCAATTGAATCTACCCTTGCGGCAGTTCCAGAATATCTATAAACCTTATCGGGTGTTGAACCAAATGAGCAAGTGAGTCGAGCCGCCCTTGCAGGACGTCCAAATATTTTAAAGACTGGTCGAGTCCAATAAGGAAGAGAAATAAGATCGGAATAATATTTTGAGCAGTCTTGCAGGGAAAAAACGGAAGGATAATAATATACTTGAGCTTTAGACATTTCGAGTTGAATAAAATTTTGTTCATGGTTTGGCGAGGGACTATGTATTAGAAAGTCCGCGTTATTTTCACTAACTTCGACACGTCTCACAATTTTCGACATGAAGCGACACGCTCAAGACGCGATAATTACAAAAAAAAAAGGCAAAGACAGAACATGGCTTATAAATCCTGAGTTACACTAAATTTTTATACGAAATTCGTCTGATTGGCTGATGTAAATCAATTGCCCGGGTAACTTATTTATCGCGTCTTGAGCGTGTCGCTTCATGTCGAAAATTGTGAGACGTGTCGAAGTTAGTGAAAATAACGCGGA